GTTTGTGGCCTGGGAAAGCAGCAGAGGAAGGCTCAAAGCCTTGGGACCCTGCACTGCCTGGGAGATCCGGAAGAAGTTTCTGTAGCTTTGGATTGGCTCAGCTCTGGCCAATGCAGCCACTTGGGGAATGAACGTGCAGATGCAAGATCTTTCTGTCTCTCCTCTCTGCAAATATGACTTTCCCAATAAAACAGATAAATATTTTTTAAAAACTATGTTTACTATAACATTTTATGACCTAAAATAGTGCACAATCTGCCTGTTCTATAGGGCTGCTTAAATTAATTTCAATATAGTCACACAACAGGATTTATGTAGCCATTAAAAAAATCCTGGGAGAACTCAGTACAATAGCCTAGTGGCTAAATTCTTGCCTTGTATCCACCAGGATCTCATATGGTCATTGGTCCATATCCCAGCTGCTTCACTTCCCATTCAGCTCCTTGCTTGTGGCTTGGGAAAGCAGTAGTCCATTGTGGTTACTTGGGGTGTGAACCAGCAGATGGAAGATCTTTCTCTCTGTATCTCCTTTTTTTCTGCTTATCTGCATCTCCTTTTTTCTGCATATCTGAGTTTCCAACAAAAATAAAATAAATCTCAAAAAAAAAAAAAAAAAGCCCAGGTAGATGTACTGGGGACTCTCTCATCATTTTGTGAAATATCTGACACGGGTTATCTATGAAGGAAAAAGGGTTATTTTGGCTCAAGTTGTTTTGAAAGTCCAAGACTAGGCCTAATTTGGTTTCTTTCCCATTTCCTTCAGAGCCCCCAACATGGTCTTACCCAAGGAGAATTCTTCCTTTCCAGGAACTGAAAACAGTGCTGCAGTAGATTCTGGGTCTGATAACAAGAAATGGAAACCAATACCAACCGATGGCTCCTGATGCTCTTCTGTATCTAGCAAGTGCCCCCAATGATCTGAACAGGGCTCTGCTGAGGGTGAGGAGTGAAACTCTGTAGCGACCCACAATTGCTAATTAAGTCTCCAGGCCTTCGTATAAGCCTTGTTCTTCACCAAGAACACATGTCTCTATGCCCTCCTAACACCTCCCAACAATAAACACGTCACTCATCGTGTTAATTCCTACTCAACCTTCTGGTCTCAATTTAAAGGTCCTTCCCTAGTTTTCCAGAAACTGTTAGAGGCAAAATGTCCTCACTCCCCTCCCGCCCATTATCACAGCAGCCAGGGTGGCTCAGAGTCTGATCATGTTACAGGTCTCAGAACTTTCCAGCACCTTCCTAGCTCATCAGGCTAAGTCAAGGTCCTAATGCATCCGACTGGTGCATCATAGCTATTCTCCCCCTCCCTCCCTCCACGTGCACTGGGTATTGCATCTCACACAACAACACCCTTCCTTTGCAGGGGCTTTTCGCACTTGCTCCTTAGTCTCCTGAGAACTCGTTCCCTAGGCTTCACTGAGCTCACCAGTGTCACTTCATGCACTCAAAGACACGTTAAAATTCTGACACACTCTAGGGCATTATTCATGCTAAATGGAACAAGCCAGTCATTTAAAAAAAAATAAATAAAAGCACAGGCATTGTGCGATTCTGCTTTAGTATTCAAAATCTAACGGGCAGAAAGAGTAGTGGGTATCCAAGGCTGGAGGAAGGGGAAAACTGGGAGCTGCTGTGAAGACAGTACATACTATATCGTACATCTTTTACCTCATAACACACATTTTAAATATCTTCTCCGTAAGACTGTCTTGGTCACTTCTAAAACGTCAAGTCCACCACAAGCCAGGAGACCTCCGTCTCAGGAAGAGAGGCCGGGAAGTGGCAGAGCTTCTACATTTCTCCCTCCCTGAGAGAAAGTCAGTAAGGCGGAGATCAAGAGAGGCGGGAGTTTCCTCACTGAGGGAGGAGCTTCCGGGACCGCCCCCTCACTGAGGGAAAGCCAATGGGGAGGAGAGCAAGAGGGGCGGGAGCTACCGGGACCGCCCCCTCACTGAGGGAAAGCCAATGGGAATGAAAAAGCAAGAGGGGGGGGGAGCTTCCGGGACCGCCCCCTCACTGAGGGAAGGCCGAGGAGGGAGGTGGGCCGAGACGGGCCAGGAAGGACGGACTTCCGAGTTATTCTCTTAGGGACAGCCAGAAAGTGGGCGGTCCCGAGGGGAGGGACTGAAAAGTGAGAACTTCCGGGGCGTCTCTGCGAGGTGGCCACGTGAGAGAGCTTGGGGGCCCTGAGGGGAGAGAGGGGCGAGCTGTGTATCTGTGGGATAAGGGAGCAAGAGGTTTAGGATTTCCGAGCAAGCCGAGAATTCCTCTGCTCGCCGCCAACCTTTAGCTGAGCCAGCTGGAAAGGAATGCGGCTCCACGACGTGGGCTCCTCAGCCACCCCCACCTGACGACGTAACCATGGTGGAAGGCCCAAGGGACAGAGAGCCTCCAACAGAGCCGCCACTCGGTCCTGCACCGGTCACTGTTATTCTGTTCACCTAGATCTTCTTATTCTTTTTTTTTTTTGTTTTAGGTTTATTTATTTTTGCTTGAAAGGCATATCACTTTTACGAAGAGAAGCATAGAGAAAGATCTTCCTCCACTGGTTCACTACTCAAATGGCTGCAACGAAGAGCAGCCGGGACACAAACTGGAGCCCATACGGTATGCTAGCACTTGCAGAGTGAGGATTTACCCACCGAATCGTGGCGCCGCACCCTTCACTTAAGTCTTGATCTGTGCTCTGCCCTGTGCACCAATAGCTGCCGCCAGGATCAGAGTACCCTGGTCCTGACTGAAAGGAAACAAGAGCCCTGGATGCCAGCAGAGCTGCTGGAAGTGGAGTCTGGCCGTCAGGATGCTCGGTATCCGCTGGGTCAGAATCAAGCAGTGTCACTCATCATCTTTCCCATAGCCTCCGCTTAGTCTCCAGAGAGTTTACCCTGCCCTTCTGGAACAGATGTTAAGTGAAGGGCCAGAGTGCTTCTCCAGTGGTACCTGTGGCACGTGATTGGAAGTCCCTGTGGCTGTGCCAGAAATCTGGCATCTCTAGAGCTGCCCACCCATCAGGCCATGGACCCTTTCAACCCCAGCCTTGCATCCAAGGTTCTTTCTCCAAAGATCTACCAAAGCATTTTCTCTGCTTGGCGCTAGGAACAACCCTACTGTACCTGCTGTTGCCGCTCCTATTGTAGTTCCTCTTGGTGGCTTTGTGGCCTTTCTGCTTTGTCTGCCCTTGTCCCCACAGCTGACCAAGTCATAGCCATCCCAGTAACGGTCCTGTCCAGTTTCTGTACTGGCTAGTACTGGCTACAGACCTGGCACCCAGCCAGGCCTCTTCTAAGCCCTGTTAGGTGACAGCCTTCTGCTCTTTGCCTGTGAAACTGACCAGACTGCCTGGCCAAGAAGTCCAGCAGTGCCCGAAGGCCTGGCACCAGTCCCACATGCCTCCCCAGCAGCATGTTCCCTTGCTCCTCTGAGCGTTTGGCTCACATTCTCATGAAGCTAGGGCAGCTTGCCCTTCTCTGATGCCCTGCCCTAACCCTTAAAAGGCCACCCAACTGAAGTCTCAAAAAGTCCCTGCCCAATCTGAGGTTCTCACACAGTCCTGGGTTAGAGGAACAGAAGGGGCCCCCAGAAATCTCTTTCCTGGTGCCCTGTTAGGAAAGGTCAAAGTGCAAGGATGGGCAGATGACACCAGGGCAGTTCTTCCTCCCAGGACCCCAAACACCAGTTTCTTCTCCAAATTCTGCTTGGGACAAAGGAGTAAGAGGTGAAATTGAAGAGACAGGTGCAGCTTAGATGAAAAGAAAGATGTGCAAAGAAAAAATTTTTTTAAAAAAAGTTGTGTAAGAACCAATTCAATGGTCAGTCTTCCCATAATATCAATTTCTTTAGACCATCTCAGAGAGAGTCAAAATCTGTAACTTGAAACATTTTAATGTGCTTTGTAAAAAGATTTATTTATTTGAAAGTTAAAGAGAGGGAAGGAGAGACCTTTCATCAGGTGGCGTTCTCTTCAAATGGCTGCAAAAGTCAGGGTTGAACCAGGAGGAAGCTAGGAGCCAGGAGCTTCATCCAGGTACTGCATGCGAACACAAAGCTGCAGGCAGTGGCTTTACCCTCGAGGCCACAATGCCCAATCCCTTGTGTATTTTTCTTCCTTCCTCTCCTTTAATACTAAAGTAACATTAGAGGCCAACATTGTGGCATAGCTTGTTAAGCCACCTCCACTGTGACACCAGCATCCCATATGGCTGTTCCTTTTCTGATCCAGTTCTCTGTTAAAGCACCTGGGAAGATGCCCCAATTGTTGGGCCCCTGTACCCACATGGGAGATGTGGATGCAGCGCCTTGACCCTGGCTTAGGCTTGGCCCATCCCTAGCTGTGGTGGCCGTTTGGAAAGTGAGCCATCCAATGGAAGAACCCTGCCTCTTCCTTCCTCTTTGGCTTCTAAATAGATACATCTTTTTTGTTTTGTTTTTAAGGAACATTAAAGGTATAAATTCCAAATTGCAAGGAAATACAGGGAACTGCTAAGGCAGCCTGTGCTTGAAGGAGAACTCAGGCTCCTCCCACAACCCAGCTGGCCTCTTGGCTGAGTTGGGACTTGAATGACAGCCTGGTGCTTGGCACCCAATGAAAGCCGCAACTGTGATCTCCTCAAGGGTGCAACCCTAGACGAAAACTCTGAGGAGGAGCCAGCTGGCGTCTTTGCAGATTCGTGGCGACAGGGTTGGGACTCAAGGCGGAACCAGGGGCTCCGCCTCCTCTCCCCTGCCCCAGCGCGGACTCCACGTGGTTCTCTCAAGTCTGGGTTGTACTGGCAGACGGCTGCAGGTTGGGGTGGTGCTGCTGGGAGAATCACCAGCCCAGAAGGGGGTGGTCTGAAACTTTAATCCGGACCAGAGCGAGAAACACTCCTGGGAGACAGATCTATAGACTCCAGCGTACGCCCGGCTTGCGACGACCAGCCTGGGACTGAGAGTCCCAAAGTGCCAGGCGACAAAGGAGCGACCCGAGACGGAAAGGACAGGTCACCTCCCGGCCGTCCATGGCGGCGCTCGTCCGCAGACTGTGCCACATCGCCTTCCACGTGCCTGCCGGGCAGCCCCTCGCCCGGGACCTGCAGAGCCTGTTCGGCTTCCAGCCCCTTGCGCTGCGGGAGGCAAATGGCTGGCGGCAGCTGGCTCTGCGCGGTGGCGATGCCGTTTTTCTGGTTAATCAGGGCACAGGACCCGGAGAACCGCTGTACGGGCTGGACCCGCACCACGCTGTGCCCAGCGCCACAAACCTGTGCTTCGACGTGGAGGATGCCCGCGCCGCCTCCCGGGCGCTGGCCGCTAGGGGCTGCAGCTTGCCAGTGCCTCCTGTGAGCGTGCGGGATGCCAAGGGAACTGCTACCTACGCTGTGGTGCGCTCACCTGCCGGTAATCTCAGCCTGACCTTGCTGGAGCGTGCCGACTATCGTGGACCCTTCCTGCCTGGCTTCGAGCCAGTGCCCTCTGCGCCAGGCCCGGGCTGGGTCAGCCACGTTGACCACCTCACCTTGGCTTGTATTGCTGGCAGTTCCCCCAGACTTTTCCGCTGGTTCTGTGACTGCCTGGGGTTTCGCCACTTGCCACTGAGCGCAGGTGAGGACCCAGAGCTGGGACTTGAGGTTAGAGCAGAGTCCGGATGCGGGGGCTTGCGACTCACGGCCCTGCAGACCCCACCGGGCCCCAGCGCCGTCCCTACCCTCGTGCTTGCTGAGTCCCTACAGGGGGCCACCAGCAGGCAGGACCAGGTGGAGCAGTTCTTGGCCCGGCACAGGGGACCTGGCCTGCAACATGTGGGGCTGTACACGCCAAACATCATGGAGGCCGCCAAGGGAGTGACAGTGGCTGGGGGACAGCTCCTGACTCCTCCTAAGGCCTACTACCAGCAGCCAGGCAAAGAGGAACAAATCGTAGCTGCGGGACAGGTGCCTAGTCTTCTGGCCCAACAAGGAATCCTCCTGGATGGCCACGAGGGCAAGTTCCTACTGCAGGTCTTCAGCAAGTCCCTGTTTGCGGAGGACACCTTCTTCCTGGAGCTGATTCAGAGGCAGGGTGCCACAGGCTTTGGCCAGGGCAACATCAGGGCCTTGTGGCAGTCTGTGCAGGAACAAGCTGCCAAGGTCCAGGACAACTGCGGGGGGCCAGAGCACACATACCCAAGGCCAGGAGAGTGAACAGCTGTGCCAGCACGGGCCAGGTGTGGCTTCTGTCTCAAGAGGGACCAGAAGTTGAGAGACTCTCCCTGGGTTCCAAAGAGGTGGGATTTTTGTTTTTTTAAATGTAAAACTGTTTTTGCACAGCCCATATCTAATACAGATTCATGATATAAAGAAGTATATAGTACAAAATAGATTCAATACTTTTTTTTAGATTTATTTTTATTGGAAAGTCAGATATACAGAGAAGGAAAGACAGAGAGGGAAGATCTTCTGTCCAATGATTCACTCCCCAAGTGGCCACAACAGCTGGAGCTGAGCTGACCTGAAGCCAGGAGCCAAGAGCTTCTTCTGGATCTCCCATGCAGGTACAGGGTGCCAAAGCTTTGGCCTGTCCTCAACTGCTTTTCCAGCCTACAAGCAGGAAGTTGGATGGGAAGCAGAGCCATCAGGTACCCATATGGGATCCCAGGCATGGAAGGTGAGGACTTTAGCTGCTTGGCTACCATACTGGGCTTGAACCAATACTTTTGGAGCAGCCTTTCTGATCCACTTCCTTCCCACACCTTATGAGTAACCCTTTTTTGTATCACTGTGTATACTACATTCCTAAATAAACAATATAGTATTTAAGGAACTTAAGTCAGAAACCCTGCGTTTCCCCTCTTCCAGGAAGCAACCACAGGGCTCGGCCAGAGCTAAGCCAAACCATCTGCTCTAGGGTGATGCCACTGCTCCAATCAAATCCAACCTTGTGGACTGAGGGTGTCATGTGTCAGCCATTGGCAGGTGCTCACCCTCTCTTCTCCACCCCCCACCCCCATCTGCTGAGGGCTGGATGGGCATGGAGCCAAGGGAAGTCAGAACCAAGCATGAGAGGGCAATGGAGAGGGTGCAAAACTCTTAATGGCTTTTCTTTAAAAAGGCACTTTATTTATTTCAACAACAGCATTCGGGGGGCGGGGCTTCCAGAGGCATCACGGGGCTGCACTGTTGAGGCGATGTGGCCTGAGGAAACCATCCAGGACCTGCTGGCCCTTGCTGGGCCTCTTCTGGCTGAGTGGAGTGGACACGAGGGACCTTTTGGAGCCCTGTGCAGAAGCCAAGGGGAGGTGCTGAGGCAGGGGCAGCAGAATCCCCTCTCCCCACCCCCCATGCTACCAACGTAGCTTAGGCTAGCCTGAAATGGCAGAGAGCTTTTAACCTGCCTCCAGTGTCCACCCCTTTTAACCAAGTTTGCCAAAGGCAGCCCAAGAACATCCTCCAAAAATGCAACTCTGAGCCCTCTTTTTCCCACCCAAAATGCTTCAGTGGCCTGGTATCCACACCAGGACGGGCCCCTCCAGCTAAACCAACTACTTGCTGCCCGGTGAGCATTGCACACTGCACTGTGTCCCACCTGTCTCCACCTCACTTTGGGGTCTGGAAAGATCATCCTGTCTGCAGTCTCCTAGACAGAATGAATGGCTGCCCACCTCTACTCCAGAAGACCAATCACAAGCAGCTCATGCACTGGGAGCTGTACTGTCCTCATCAACATGCTCCTGTTCCCAGACCTTACACCGTGAAAATACCCAGACCAAGAACTTTCCCTCCCGACTCAGGGAAACCTGGAGAACATTCACCACTGACAAAGTGCTTGGAGACGCAGGCCTGGGAGGAGACGCAGGCCTGGGAAGGCCAGGTGACTTACCTGGCGGGTGCCTGGCTTCTGACTTTCATATACACGGAAAACCTAGCCAAGAAGAGAGTAGGAGAGGACAGGGCTCACACTGTGTTCTGCACCCCTACCCCGCAACCCCCTGGCACTCTGGTTTAAAATATGCCTTTTTTTTCCCCTTCTGTTTAGCATGTGGTTAGCAACAGAAAAAGTACAACAAAGATGATTAAAACTGGTGCCTTTTTCATGGCTGTGGAGACGGCTGCGGTGCAAAACTCCTCCCGGGTGAGCCAGCGGGCGCCAGGTGGTGTGGTGGTTGCCAGAGTATCGCTGTCCAGGGTTAGGCCGTACACTTGATATGTCAGCTTGATGTGAGAGAAGGTGTGGACCACCTGTGTGGAGGGCCAAGGGCTGGAATCAGCCTGTGGCTACAGCCCGGTGAGCCAGCATTCCTGCCCTTCCACAGCTCACTCACCTTCCCGAGGTGCCGGAGGCAAGCGGCAGGGAGGGGCCCAGCCCAGCTCTGCAGTTCCTGTAGCAGTGCCTGGCGCGGATGCTGCCCTGAGGGCTCCAGGGTCACAGATGGGAATTCCCACAGTCCGGCCAGCAGACCTGAGAGGCAGGACAGCCAGATGGGCACTGGGCTTCAGCTGCTGACTCCTCCTTTCCTCCCTACCGCCCTCCATACCCAGCATGTGGATACCCGAGTGCGGCCTCTGGACCAGCAGCATGCGGCCACCCCCGAGGGCCTTGGGCTGCTCTATGACACAGGTGGCAGAACACTCCTCTCTGGGGGGCCTGCGGCTGGCCTTTCGGGGAAAGTTGGTCACTCCCAGGGTCGGGTCCCAGGGTTCTGAAGGAGGCAGGCACAGCTGGCACTGTCCAGTGTTGACAGCTGGAAACAAGAGATTCCCCAGCCCCAGTCAGGATGGTCCCAGAGGACAAGCCTTGGCCCAACTTTGGAATCGTATTTAGCTTCTAGGCAGCCCTGGAATGAGGCCTCCACAGGCATCTCCCTGGGCACTGGGAACAACTGGGGCTGGCACTTACCACACTCCTCTATCTCAGGGCTGCCTGGCAGCCTTGGTGAAGCACACAGCTGCTCTTGCTCCACCTGAGAGTCAAATGGTAGGGGGTGGTCAAGGGGGTGCTCCCAAGTACCTCTGCCTTCCTCTTCCCCAGCAGGCTCACCCTTTGGTGTGCCTGACACAGGTGCTGCACAGGGCACCTGTTGCAGAGTGGGCGCTGCGGGGTGCACACTGTGGCCCCCAGCTCCATGGCTGCTTGGTTGAAGTCCCCTGGCCGTACTGGGTCCACCAGCTGCTGGGCAAAGCTCCTACAAGAAATGAACATCACTGAGCCAAAGCCTGTATGCCACTGTCCCTCCCAATCTCCCCTGTCACTCACCCGATAGCCTACCAGAGCTGTTGGGAAACAGGAGTGCTACTGGGGTCAGCACCAATGGCTCGGACACGGCACAGCACCCGCACCACATTCCCATCCACCACACCGGTTGCCTGGCACAGAGTAGCCTAGGAGTCAGCCTGAGCTGGGAGGAAGGAGGATGCACACATGCAAAGCGGGCGTGGGCTGCCGGCTCACCTGGCCAAAGGCAATGGAAGCTATGGCCCCAGCTGTGTAGCGCCCCACACCTGGAAGGAGCTGCTGCAGTGTCTCTGCCGTTCGTGGCATGTGGCCCCCGAGTTCCTCCACCACCTGCTCAAGATAGGAAAGCTCCAGGTTACCATGGACGCAAGGCCCAGGGAGTTCCACCTCCCCACAATTCCCTTACCTTCCGAGCTCCCTCCTGTAGCCTCCTGCCCCGAGAATAGTAGCCCAGGCCGGCCCAGAGCTGGTTCACCTCCTGAAGGCAAGGCCAACAGTCCACAAGGTCAGTGTTCAGTCCCTCAGCGGTTCCCACTCCCCCTGCCCTCGCGTACCTCTCACCTCCAGGGATGCACTGGCCAGGTCCTGCAGTGTTGGCCACTTCTGCAGCCCCGAGTCAGGCAAAAAGAGATGAGGTCATGGGCGAGCAAGGTAGAGGAAGCGTTCTTCATATCCACCCCTTGCTAACACTCATGGCAGGGAAGGGCCGACCCCTGACCCTCCCCTTCCTTCCCAGGAGTCACCTGCATCCATCGCGTATAGTAGCTGATCACCGTGGCAACCTGAGTCTGCTGCAGCATGACCTCAGAGACCCACACTAGGGAAGAGGAGTTGGCATGAGGGTGCTGCTGCCCTGTGTGCTGCCCGAAGTCCCCCAAGCTGAGGCCAAGGCAGGCAAGGTACCCCTGCTTTCAGTTGTACTGACCAGCATATGCCCGCCTGTCCAGGTCCACCTCAGCCTCTGCCTGTCAATGCAACCCAAGATAGACAGTTAATGAGGAAGTAGGTAGGGACCAGTCTCCCTCCATACCACCGTCTCCTTCTCTTCCCTGCCTACCAGTCTTCTCCAGGGCAGGTCCCGCTTCTCTCGGTCGTACCAGGTCAGCAGGTTCCCACGGAAGGCTAGGACTTCAGCTGGGTCTTTGAATTGGTGGTGCGGGGAGATGGAAGTCTGCGACATGGCCTCTTCATGCTGTCCAGCTGGGCCTGTCAGGGCCTCAGGACACTCAGAGATTCTCCCCTTGCAGGTTGTGAAACAGGGACACAGACACAGCAGCCTGTGGCAAGGTGCTCCCAACGAGGGCTTCCCCAACCTTTGGAGCTATAGTCACACCAGAGTTCTCAAGTTGTATGCAGCCTTGGCCAATCTACATTTCCTCCTGGTGGCCTGCCTGGCTCATAACTAAAACCCAAGGGTTTCCACCAGGTCTAATACAAACATGTGCAGGGCTTTCCTGTTCATAAAGCACTCCCGGGTTTATAAACATGTGCTGGAGAAAAGCAATGCAGACCACTGCTCCATTTCACTGCTAAGAAAGCATCCATTCACAGCAACTGTTGATGGTCACAAAGCTATGGAATCAGAATTAGGCCCTTAGGGCCCGGTGTGATAGGCTAGCGGTTAAAGTCCTCCCCTTGACAGCACTGGGAACCCATATGAGCGCTGGTTCTAATCCCCGCGGTCCCGCTTCTGATCCAGTTCCCTGCTTGTGGCCTGGGAAAGCAGTCGAGGACAGCCCAAATCCTTGGGACCCTGCACCCGCATAGGAGACCTTGAAGAAGCTCCTGGCTCCTGGCTTCAGATTGGCTCAGCTCCAGCCATTGCGGCCACCATCAGACAGAAGATCTTCCTCTCTGTCTCTCTTCCTCTCTATATATCTGCCTTCCCAATAAAAATAAATAAATCTTGTTAAAAAAAAGAATCAGGCCCTTAATCAATTCCTCAATGCCATGAAAGTCAGAGTAAGGGAAGAGAGAAGAAACAAGTAAAAGGGAGGAGAAAGCGGAGGGAGGGGGAGAAATGGAGAGACAGAGAGATCTTTAATCAGCTGGTTCACACCCCAGTTGACCACATCAGCCCAGAACTCCACTTGGGTACCACCCCATGGGTAGTAGGGATCCAAGCATTCAGACTATCATCACTGCTTCCCCAGGTGGGTTAGCAGGGAGCTGGATCAGAAGCAGAGTAGCTGAGACTTGAATCAACAGCCTGATATGGAATGCTGGCATTGCAAACAGTGGCTTCACTCAATGCCATGCTTCCAGCCCCAGTCTCTCAAAGCCCCAACACAATTTATGATCCCTTCCCAGCCCAAGGCTGCCCCTTTCACAGCTGATGAAACTGGCCCCCTGAGTCTCTGGCTAGGGCCGAGTTCCTCACCATCAGGGGCAGAAGGTTTGGTCTGGCTGCTATTGAGGGAGTGTTGTTCTCGTCGCTTCTTGCAAGCTGTCTGCTTCCTGTGGCCACCTCCCACAGCTCCTCGTGGCTTCCTCATGATGACCTAAAACAGAAAGATGCAGTTTTGTTGACAGAGCAGGTTAGGCTGCTACCTGTGATGCTGATACCCCATATGAACACGGTTCAAGTCCAGGCTGCCCCATTTCAAATCCAGCGCCCTTGTAACGTGCCTGGGAAGGCAGAAGAAGATGGCCTGAGTATCTGGGTCTCTGACACACAGATAAGAAATCTGGATGAAGTTTCTGGCTTTGGCCTGGCACAGCCCAGGCCAGTGCAGCCATTTGGGAGGTGAAACAGCAGATGGAAGATTTCTGTCATTTTCTCTGTAACTCTGCCCATTCAAGTAAATAAATTAAAAACAAAAGGGGGAGGCAGGGAGGCAGCAAAGACTGACCCAGCCAAACTAGTCACAAGGAAGCTAAACCGTGGGACCATTCAGTGACACTTCTGCCTGCCTGCCTACACCATGTACCACGTCCAGTTCTTCTCAAGCTCTCAGGATGCCTATGAGTCTGCTCTTGACTGGTTCAGAGAATGACCAAACAACCTTACAGGAACCTGTGTGAGTACAGCCCCAGACATCCAAGATGGAAGAGGCCAAGGCTGGGATGGGTCAAGGACCAAGTCCTCCTGTCTGGGAGCCTGTGGTTCACTGATGCTTGTTGTCACTGTGTGGGCAAAGGGGCTGTTTAGATGTGTCCGGCGGTATGCAAGGTGGGTGAAAAGCTTCTCTCATTAGAGATGTAAAACAGCCTTTCATGGTCACTCAGTCTGATGATCTTCATTTCACAGGAACTCGATGCTGGAGATCAGAGAGAAAAGATTTGCCTGTGAGCAGATGGCTAATCAGTAGGGCATACAGATGAGTTGTTCTTATACCTAATCTTTTCTGATCTAGTAAACCATCTCTGGTCAATTATTAGTGATGAAAAAATGCATCCAGCTGGTCCTTACTGTTCCATTCTTCAGCTGTCATTTCTTAATGACTAAAAGCAGCTAAAACTCTGAGAGCCCACTCCATGCCAGACCCTGTCAAATGCTTCACTGGACTTTCACTCAATCTCCTGAGAACTCAATGGCAGAGTATTACCACCCTGTGGTAAGGGGAATGTGAAGTTTGTAGAGATTAAGTAATTTTTTTTCTCTTAAACCCAGAAAGCAATCTTTCATTTGCTGGTTCAGGCCCAAATGCCTGCAGGTAGGAATCAAGTACCTGGATACTTTGGAACATAATATACTGCTTCCCCAGGTGAATTAACAGGAAACTGGACTGGAAACAGAATGGTGAGAACTTCACTGGCACTCCACTATGGCATGATCCTGAACTTGCCATATCACAATGCACACCTCCAGAACTTGTACTTAATAATAATAATAAAGCTTTTGGGAAGGCAGACTTGTAGAGAGAAGGAGAGACAGAGAGAAAAATCTTCCACCTGCTGGTTCACTCCCCAAATGGCTGCAACAGCTGGAGCTGAGCCAATCTGAAGCCAGGAGCCAGGAGCTTCTTCTGGGTCTCCCACGCAGGCGCAGGATCCCAAGGCTCCACAAGCAAGGAGCTGAATGGGAAGTAGAACGGCCGGGATATGAACTGGTGTCCATATGGGATGTTGCCCTTAAAGACGGAGGACTAGCCAGTTGAATCATTGTGCCAGCCGCCAGAACCCACACTCTATACCCTGTGGCATCCCTCCTAAGCCTGCTTCAAACTCTATCACCTCATTTCCACTTGCTTCTTCCTTCAGGGGGAAAAAATAAAGAATAAATGAATATGCAAACTTCTCTCCTTCTTTTCCCTTTTATAGGAGGAATGCAACCTTATTCTGAGGCTTCTGCTACTGCAGTCCCTTCCAACCATGAGCCACTGCTCTCCCCTTCACAAACTTCCTTTGCTAATACATTCGAGAATTTACAATCCATTCTCCAGAGAGCAAGGTGACTTATGCAAGATACGATCATGCTACTTCCTTACTTGAAGTCTCCAGCACCTGCCCTTAAATCCTTGAACAAATATTTACAAGGTGTTTACTATGTAATCAAGCAGTTTTCAGTGGCTGGAAAACTCCAGTAAGTAAGAGAGCAAGGGCTGCAGTACTCACAAAGCCTACATTCTAACGGCAGCACCAAGAATAACACACACAGGAAGCGAGTTTACATAGCACGGTTAGAAGCATGGAAGGAACAAGCAGAGCAGGTGCAGAGGTAGAGAGCAGAAATGTTGCACACGCACAGAACATGGCCAGGTTCACCTTATTAAAGGGAAATCTGACCGACGAGTTAGACCGTTAGAATGGGGCACGTGGACACCTGTGGCAATGACATACCAAGAGTTAGTGCGAAGGCCCTAAGCAGCGGGGTTTGGCAAGGTTAAATACGAGCTCCTGGGTTATAAGCGGAGTGAGGGTTTACGGTGCACGGTGGAAGAAGGGTAAAGGAGAAGGCAGGTCGAGCACAATGACAAAGTATCTTGTAAGCTGCAGGGGAGGGGGAGTGCGGGGAGAAGGGCTTTGCTGTTTGGGGCCAGTCCTTGCCGGTTCACTAACTGTGTCGGTCGCTGCACCCCTTCTGCAGCCTCATCCTGCGTCCGGCTCCCCGCCACTTTCACTTCCAGGACCGGGAGAGCTACCCTTGCTCTCGGAATTCACCCGACCCCAGCAGCCCTTCTCTTAAATCCTGGCCGCGCCCCTGAGAAGCCTGCCTCCGCGCACCTCACCCCTCGCGCCGCGCTGAGGAAGACAGCCCGATTCTGTGGTCCCATTCTACCGTCGTGCTGAGGCAGGAGACATGATTAGCTTTGATTGTTTCTCCCGCGCCCGGCTCCCCCGCGCACTCTAGGGGGCGTGGCTCCTGCCAATCAGGCCACGAGCCGACCGCTCCAGCCAATAGGCTCTCAGCGCGCGCCGGGCCCACTCTCCCTACCCCTCCTCCCGACGCCAGACCCGGGAGCTCTGAACGGAAGTCCGACCCGTTGATCACCTGGGCGAGACCTCCGCCCCGCCCCCGGCAGCCCGTGTCGCGCCAGGAGACGAAGCGGAAGTCTGGGAGCGCTCCTACAACTCCGACGAGGGAAGTGCGGCGTCATGGCCGCCAGCGACCACGATGGCGCAGATTCGGCTCCGGCGGCCTCTAACGGTGAGCGGCTTCCCAGGGGCCGAAGCCTATGCGCTCCAGGGAGGGGAAGGCCTCACGTTCTTAACCCTATAGAGATAGACTTCAGGCTTCCAGAGCATATCCCTTCCTGAGGCTGCCACAAGGAGACTACAAATCCCAGTGTGCACCGCGGCTTGCCTGTTAGGTCCTGGCGTGTTGGCAGTGTAATCAGGGGGTAGTGAGGTGTGCTGGGAAATGTAGTCTGCAGCTCAAAGCTGTTGCTAGTTGGTTGGGAGTCGGCGCCTGCGCTGAACGCTGTGGTCTAGACGAAGTAGAATATATTGGGACTTCTGTTTGTGGCGTTATCAGGTTTTGGGCTTCTGGCTTTGCAGCCTTGTGAAATATGAAAAATGTTACCAGAAATGCCTGGTGGGTTCTTTCCTCAGCTTAGAATAGAAATAAAAAGCCGGGAGTCTGTTGCAAACAGAAAACTTTATTTGCGAAGGGACCAGGTGAGCAGGAAAGGGAGAGAAAACCGGAAGGTGGGTTACCTCTCGAAAGAGGAGGGAGAGACAGACACCAAAGGTTTAAGGAAGGGTCTTGGGATTTTAAGCCTTCCTTGACCCCTCCTTGTTGGGCGGGAGCCTACAGGTAAGATGTTCCCCATTGGTGGTCTCTTAATTAGTTAGAAAAATGGGTGGGCAATGCTGGCGCCGCCCACTTGAAGGTGTGGCCAAGACCTCAGCAGGCCTGGATGGTCTCAAAAAAGCTGAAATCTTCTAGCCAATACGAAAACTTCCTGCAGGGTTTGGGAGAAGGAACCTCAAAAGTCACCTAGTCCACCCTTCCTTTCTTGCTGACACTGAGGGGGAAGTAATTTTCCCAAAGGGTCATATAAATCCACTGGAAAACCCGGGTGACCTCTCTTCAAATTTAGGGTGCCAGCCATTCTAAGTAAGGCCTGTGTAGCGAACAATAGGAATACGAGGCCTGAGAGAAAAGCCATCACTGGAAACTACCCCTTCACCCCTACCCTGCGGCCTTGCTTAGTGTCTGTTCTCATTGGCACAGTTGCCAGAGGAGAAGTGGCCATTACTGTCTCCCCCAGGTGGTGCCAGCAACAGCACAAAATCTGGAGAGGAGGTAGTAGTCCAGGTTCCTGTGGTCGATGTACAAAGTGACAACTTCAAGGAGATGTGGCCATCCCTCCTGCTGGCCATTAAGACATCTAGCTTTGTGGCTGTAGACACGGTGAGAATTGGGAAATGGGGAGGGCAGGTGGTTGTGAATGGGTTGATGTGAGGGGGTCCATCACAACCCTCCCTTTACCCACCCCTAGGAACTGAGTGGGCTTGGGGACAGAAAGAGTTTACTGAACCAGTAAGTATAAGCTCTGTTGTTTCTTAGACCCTGGCAAGAAGGGTAGAATTCATCCCTGGAGTTGGGGGTAGGGCTTGGAGGTGTGGACACAATCCTAGATAGTGTGTGTCCTTCAAGAAGCCAAGTCCTAGCCATAGCTATGCCAAACCCATCCCTAAGGTGCATCGAGGAACGTTACAAGGCCGTGTGTCATGCTGCCAGGACCCGTTCTATCCTGTCCTTGGGCCTCGCCTGTTTTAAGCAGCAGCCAGACAAGGTACGAACTGATCTCACTTCTGTCTCAGGTCAGTGTCTTTAAGGGGAGGAGAGTGTGAGATCCTGGGGAACACTGAGCATAATTTCTTTCCCCTTGAACCTTGACATGGCAGACCCTCTTTCTCTTCCAGGGTGAACACAGCTATTTGGCCCAAGTGTTCAATCTCACCCTGCTGTGCATGGAAGAATATGTCATAGAGCCAAAGTCTGTGCAGTTCCTGGTACAGCATGGCTTTAACTTCAACCGGCAGTACGCCCAGGGTATCCCCTACCACAAAGGCAATGACAAGGTAGGCCTCCAGCTGCTCTAGCCTACACTCCGTCTTCTGTGCCTTCACTTCTCCCAACTCTAGGCTGGCTGCCTGGGGACAATCTGCTTATTAAGGAATGTGGAGAATCACTAGTTCCTGGGCTGGGGAAAGGCAGCTGATGACAAAAACTGGTAGCAGTGAACTGGTAGAGTGTGTTTTCCTTCCCTGAGACCTTTCTTTCCACCTAGGGTGACGAGAGCCAGAGTCAGTCGGTGCGGACACTGTTCCTGGAGCTGATCCGGGCCCGGCGGCCTCTGGTGCTACACAACGGCCTCATAGACTTGGTGTTCCTCTACCAGAATTTCTACGCACACCTGCCCGACAACCTGGGAACCTTCACGGCTGACCTGTGTGAGATGTTCCCCGCAGGCATTTATGATACCAAATACGCTGCTGAGTTTCATACCCGCTTCATGGCCTCCTATTTGGAATATGCCTTCCGGAAATGGTGAGCAATGGTTGTGGGAAACGGCTTGGTGGAAGCGGTACATGATCTGAGCCTATTTCATTCACTTAAGATATATATGGAGTGCCTGCCAGGTGCACAGCAAAAACAGTGAACAAAAGCAGTGAACAAAACAAAAACTCCTGCTCTTGTGGAGCTTGTGTTAACGGACCAATACCCTCTTATGCTGTTGGCAGTGAGCGGGAAAATGGGAAGCAGCGGACAGCTGGTGGCCCACACCTTACCCTGGAGTTCTGCAACTATCCTTCCAGCATGAGGGCCCACGTCGACTACCGCTGCTGCCTGCCCCCTGCAACCCATCATCCTCATCCCACCAGCATCTGTGACAATTTCTCGGTGAGAGCATGTCCTGGGGCGGGTGAGGTTTCACATCTGGAAGCCCTTTCTAAGCCTCTTTCTTATCTCCAGGCCTATGGCTGGTGCTCCCTGGGACCACAGTGTCCCCGGTCCCATGATATCGACCGTATCATTGACACTGATGAGGCTGTAGTGGAGGAGAAGCGGCGACGGCGACGGCGTAAGGAAAAGCGGAAGAGAGCTTTGTTGAGCCTGTCTGGGACACAGACTTCTGGAGAAGCTGAAAATGGTCCTCCCACAAAACAGGTCTGTGGAGAAAGCCTCAAGAATGAGGAAATTGAGGAGAAAGTGGCTGAGGATGAAACTAGAGACCAGCCCAGCTCTGAGCAAGACCACAAAACTGACTTGGAGATGGATCTGGAGGCAACAAGGCCTGAAACCGCTGATATGCCTCCCCTGGAAATGCCAGAGAATCAAACCAGCCCTAATCCAGTGCCTGGGGATGGATTGCATCGGGCTGGATTCGATGCTTTTATGACTGGTTATGTAATGGCCTATGTGGGCATGAGCCAGGGCCCCCAGCCCTGCAGCTCTGGACCTTGGCTACCTGAATGTCACAACAAGGTATATCTGAGTGGCAAAGCTGTACCCCTCACAGTAGCCAAAAGCCAGTTCTCCCGTTCCTCCAAGGCCCACAACCTGAAGATGAAGCTAGCTTGGGGCAGCAGCTGACCCGACTTTTGCCTAATTCAGGATCCAGGAAGGGAAGCTGCAAGTAGAACAGAGGTGTCTGTGCCCACTCTGCGCTGCATTGCTTCTGGCTCTTTACCATAAAGGCTGAAGTCCAAGGACACACGTAAGGAGGCTGACCAGCACCTGTAATACCGACTTTATTTTTAAATCTGAAAATGTCTTGGGAAAGTTTTACAAAAAAAAAAAATCAACAGAAACAAGTTATGAAAATATTTGACCAACTTCATTCTTTGGTTATTTCTTATTGCGGTTCTGTGAGGACAGACTGTTCCTGAACCTCCAGCCATAGCAGGGAGAAAAATCAGTCCCTGTATACCCATTTAACCAACTGGGTGTATGTATCACATGTTGACAGATACATAGAGTAGGCCCTAGGGCATACAAATCCAGCCCCACTCCCAACCAGGTGGTTGAAAGTCTCATGAGGCAGAACATTTAAGACTCCTTTATAAATACAGAAATAGTTTAATCAACTGGTAAAGATCTTTGAATAGGTTAGCTAAGAGCCACGACCATCACATTGCCTTGCCCTCCCCTTGCATAGAAATGTAGTGATGTGGTCTGACCATGCAGTAAGTGCAAACAGCAATTATTCAAGTGTCTTAAACATACTAGCAAGAAGCACACCAGTCTTCAGATCTGAGAAAAAGTCACGCCCTTTATGGCTACCTGGTGAGTTGTTGGTTCCATCCAGTAGTTATGTGTCCCAAGAAGGTGCAAGAGACAGACCTGGGATGGGTGAAGTGGGGTAATAGCTGCCTGCCAGCTCAACATAGAACTAGGAATCCTGGTCCTATTTGGGGAAGTGCACTGGGGGATCAGGTGGGCACCAAAGATCCATGCTAGATTTCAGAGGCTTGGGATCAGCTGTTGGCCCTAACTTGCAACACCTCTCACTGCTTGCTCCCTTCTCCTACCACAGCCTTTGGTACTGGGAGCTCAGTAGTTGAGTCTGGCTTAGCCTAGCACTGCTGATCTGTGGGCTCCAGGAGGAGGTCAAGGCTGGGCCCCAAGGAGGTCCTACAGCTTCAGCTGAAAGGCCATCCTCAAGGTAGACAGGGTCTAAGTCCCCTCATCCATCCTGCTCTCCCTGGGTTTGAAGGCCCATGCCTGAGGCACGGAGGGGGCTGGGAACCAAGCTTCTCGGCCTCTCTTCTGCCTCCATCTCTTCAGAGGAACATTCAGGGCAGGGTCCTGTCCCCTGGGGCCTAAGGCCAAAACCATTTTCTTCCTGGGGATTGGAGCAGTCCATGGCCTCAGAGGCCAAAGCAGCTGTTGGGGCAGATGCCTGGAATGGTGGGATCTCTCTTACTCTGTACTTCAGACTACTGAGGCGTGGAGGGGGCCCATCAGATAGTGATTCGTCTCGGTCCACAAACGGACAGGCTTCTTGATGCAAGAATTCAGGTGAGCCGGGCAAAGAACGCCACCGTCGAGCAGGTGGAGCAAGGGGTTCCTGCCAATCAGCTAGGGGCATGGTACCTGACCCAGGTGCATCCAGGTCAAATACCAGGGAGATGACAGATTTGCTTGGCAGAGCAAAGAATTTGATCTTGCCACCCATAAGGTCCTGGCGAGCACTGAATGGATTGACTTTGGGGATGCGGGCAGCACCATCTCGTTGTGGCCGGTAATAGGGGTCCAAGACGTTCACTGTATGTGGAGGCTTATGGGAGAAGATGTCTGATTGGCTCCGAGACAGGCAGATGGTACGCTTAGGGCTTGGGCGTGGCGACTTGTGAGGGATCTTGTCATCCAGTGAGCTCAGCCGTTTTACCCCAGGTACTTTGTCCAGGAGTCCTGAAGAACAGTGGGTCAAGTCTAGGTTACTCTCAAATAGCAGCAGCACAAAGCGTTACCTCTCAGGAAAATAAAATAGGTACTGTTGTCAATGAGGAAACAAAAAAGGAAAGCAATATGCCAAGTGACAACTTCAGCAAGTAAGTTACTTTTTTCCATCATCTTGCCCTCCTATTTGCTTGTGCACTTGAGGCCTTGGAGTCTCAGTCCTAGAAAGGAAGGCCTCCATCCTAATTTCCTCCCTTAGCATCAGATTGTGTTCTCCAGTCTAAACACTTACCCTTGCTTGTGGGCTGCGGCTTTTTGTCCTCTGGTGGTTCTTCCTGTAGGTGGCTCAGAATTTTGTTGAGGGTCTCCCCAATCTCCACAAAGGATGGGCGCAGTTTGGGGTCCATCTATAGATATCCACAGTAACTATTAGCCCTGTCCCACATTTCTCCCATCCAAGAATGGCAGCTGAGTGTATTTCTGGCATCTCTGCAGTTAGGACATTTTCTGAAGGCCTTGGGTTATGAGGGAATATACTACGGTTTATTACCCTTCCCGCAGGTCCCTTCGTGTGTGCGTGTCTTAATCCCTTTTAAGGGCACAGAATCCTCCAAAAGTAGTTTATCCTATTTGACTTCTGTTGCCTATGTACTTCTGGTAGGCGTCTGCAAAATCCAGCTCCCTTTGGTCATAATGGGTAAGGAGCTCGATAGTACTCATGTGTCTCAGGGCCAGCTAGAGCCCCAGTTGAGTAATAAAACCTGACCAGAACTCCACCAACAACCAAGGCAGGGGGTGATGGGTCTACCCTTTAAGATTATGACTGGATAATACAAAGTAGGTTTTTGCTTTTTGTTGTTGTTGTTTTTGTTTTCTCTTGGCCCAAAGCTCTGAAGAAGCTGGCTAGGCTTGAAGGAGGACGTGTTGCTATCATGTACCCAGTGAAAATGAACCCCCTCCTAAGGCTAATTAACAGTCCTAACCAGGTGAAAGGGGTTCAGCCATCCCCTGATGAAAACAAGAGCGGGGAGTGGGAAGACACTCACATTACAGCAGTTGAAGGTGAGCTGCAGAAAGTCTGGAGGACAGTCTCCCACCATGTGCTGGAAAGCATCATAGTCCAACCCGAAATTCTGTGGATGGGTGTGGTGGGGAGGATACAGGAACGTAGGTAGACAGTTCATTAATCTCCCCCACCCATTCTGGCCTGCTCGCAGAGGCTGGGAGCTGCCTCTGAAAAGTAGCCACAAACTGAGTTCCAGCAAGTCCACCCCAAGGACAAGACCGTTCCTCAGCCCAGCCCAATCCCAGTGGCCTTGATTCCTACACCTGCCACTCACCTCTGTGCGGGGAAGATAGTCCGGATCAGCCTGGATGCGGGCGATGATTTCGCAGAGGATGATACCATAAGAGAACACATCTGCCTGGTGGGTAGTCAGACCTTGGTTTCTCTCTCAATGGGGCAAGGGTAGTGTATCCGCCCCATGTCTAACAGCCTAGGTCCATTTGCTAGGCAGCTGCCAAGTAATCCTACTCTTGGCAGAAACAGTGTAGATCCTCCCCCTGAACATGAAGGGTGACCATGGATATGTCCTGCTAGGAGTGAATTCTAAGGAGAACTAGCCTCCAACTTACCTTTTCATTATAGGGCTCATCTCTGAGAACCTCTGGTGCCATCCAGAAAGGAGAGCCCACTACAGCCAGCTTCTCACTCCCCGTGCTGTGTGGGCAGATAAGGATAAAGAGCTTGCCGCTGCCTGCTACAATGGCATACTTGACCATCGGGAATTCTGTTCTAAGCATGGGCCCAAACTAGGACTCGCTGTGTTTATTCAGGTTGAGTTGTGACCTCACCCTGGTCTTGGGGAGAGGGGGGAATTTTAGCCCCCTCTTCAGGGACCCAAGCATCCATTAGGGATACTCACCTGACATCAGGGATCTTCTCAGCCAGGCCAAAGTCAGCCACCACTGCCGAGTAACCGTTCTCATCTTTCTTTATCAGGCAGTTCTAGGTTTCCCAAAAAAGGAAAGAGAATATGGCTTAGAAGTGGGGATCAGCCAGCTATAAAGTTTTCATCTATTCCTCCCTGCTCAGAGAACCTTGTCCTCTGCTTTTTGATGAACTGTGATGAACCACATTCCCTCCCCCCGCCTTTTTTTTTTAAAGAAATGGGGCCTGGTGCCATGTCATAGTAGGCTGACCTTCAACCTGTGGTGTCAACATCCCCAAATAGGTTCTGATTCAAGTCCAGGTTGTTTCACTTACTCTTTTTTTTAAAGATTTATTTTATTTTTATTGCAAAGTCAGAGAGACAGAGGAAGATGTTACCTCTGATGATTAACTCCCTCCCACCAAGTGAACACAATGGCTAGAGCTGTGCCAATCTGAAGCCAGGAGCCAGGAACTTCCTCTAGGTCTCCCAAGGGCCACCATGCCAGGCCCTCAAAAATAAATCTTAAGAAAACGGGTATGGTGACCACTTAAAAAGCAAGGATAAATATTTGGAATCTGAGGGCAACCCATTAAAATCCAGGACTGATTCATCTCACAAGACTGAGAGCCCCAGGTAAAACCTCTGTGGTCAGCTTAAGAAAGTGGTTCAAGGGCCCAGCGGTGTAGCCTAGCGGCTAAAGTCCTCGCCTTGAACACACCAGGATCCCATATGAGTGCCGGTTCTAATCCCAGCAGCTCCACTTCCCATCCAGCTCCCTGTTTGTGGCCTGGGAAAGCAGTCAAGGACAGCCCAATGCTTTGGGACCCTACAACCTATGTGGGAGACCTGGAGGAAGTTCTTGGCTCCTGGCTTCGGATTAGCACAGCGCCAGCTGTTGCACCTGCTTGTGACCTGGGAAAGCAGTCGAAGACCCAGAAGAGGCTTTGGTTTCTTGGCTTCGGATTGGATCAGCTCCAACCATTGTGGTCACTTGGGAAGTGAATCATCAGACAGAAGATCTTCCTCTGTCTCTCCTCTCTGTGTATCTTACTTTGCAATAAAAATATATAAATCTTTAAAAATTTTTAATTTTTATTTGAAAGGCAGATTTACACGGAGAAGGAAAGAGAGAGGAGCCTTCCATCCTCTGGTTCACTACCCAAATGGTCACAATGGCTGGAGTTGGGCTAATCTGTAGGCCAGGAGGCAGGAACTTCTTGTGGGTCTCCAAATGGGTGCAGGGTCTCAAGGCTTTGGGCCATCCTCCACTGCTTTTCCAGGTCCCAAACAGGCAGCTGACTGGGAAGTGAAGCAGTCAAGACATGAACCAGCACCCATATGGGATGCATGTGCTACAGGTGGAGGCTTAGCCTACTACAGTAGGGCACTGGCCCCAAGTAGCCATAATTTTAAGTGCCAGTAATGCCTCAACCTGAAAAAGAAAGAAAAATAAAACAAACCCTGTCCTCCTGGCACTTACAACCTAGGGGAGAAAGAATATCAGGCTCCTGGCTTTCCTTCCTTCTTCCTCAAATGCAGATACCCAATATTCACAACCATCTTTGCCAAGTGATACAAGTATAGGACAAATGCCCAAGCTTAATACTTGTATTGTCCACATGATCACAGCCAACCTCCTCTCTGGCATCTGAGTTTACGACTCTTAAGTGGCTGCATCCAAGTGGCTTCCTCCCTACTTCTCTGTCCCTGGTGCCCCTGTGCACATATTCTTATCCCAACTTTCTACAGAATAAGTTGACTTATAAAGCCTGAACAAGGTTTTGCCTGTTTTTGTCAGTGGGTGGCATCAAGGTTTTGACTCTGTTCCAATTCTCCTCTCCACCTAAGAACTTTATGTCTTTTAAGGCAAGCTACCTTTTAAGCCGAATCTTCTCTAGTCCTCACCTTCATCTCTCCCTCTTAGTTCTTTTCAGCTCTTCCTCTATGCCACTTCCTCTTACAAATCTAGCAGAAAGACTGAGCCTCGCAGGAACATGTTCTGGTAGGAAGCTTCCTTCTTCACAGTACTAAATTCATTAGAGGAGCTGAGGATATGCTCACTAAACAAATACTGCCTCCAGATAAAGGACAAACCTAAATGACCTGCAAATAAACACAAAGCAGCAACTAGTTCTCCGTCCCCCCCCCCCAAATAGCTACTTTAAAAATAGCCTTATGCCACTTGGGCTCAGGAGGCACCTCATCCCCCCCACTCCCTTCCTCCGGAGAACAGAAAACAGGGATGCTTGACTCACAGAAACATTTCTGGGGCCAGCAATGCCCTATTTTATCCAAACCAGCCCTCCTTCCACTTTGCAGCCTTAGTAATTTAGTTGCTGAGACATTACCGAGTAGCCTAGTGCTTACTCCACATCGAATGCAACTTAATGTCTTCCTCTTGCCTTGGTGTGACCACACTGATCATCTCTGAGCTGAAAAGAACCTGTGATTTCGTCACACCATCTACCCTGGACCCCAGATAGACAGTCTCTGGCTTCCAAGTGATACTGTCCTTGTACTTGTCCTGGCTTTGGTTCTCTCATCAGTCCTGCTGGCTCAGCACCCCATGGCTTCTCTGACTTTGTGAGAAGATGGGCCCTAAGCCAGCCTGGCTATTAAATAGCCCAAGCTCCAGATCTAAGGTACAGCCCAGGAGGCAGCAGAAGCTTCTATTTTGTCCTTTCTATCTCTCCCCTCCACCTCCTATTTCACCAACTCAGGCAGCTGCTCTCAGGGCTCAATCTGAAGTCCCATGTAGTGTTTTTATTATAGAACTCAGAAACAATCCTATTAAAATCACCTTGCAAATAGCAGGTATAGAAAAGAACATGACCACAAGGCACTGCCATTGTCAAAGCTGTCAGTTTGGGGACTGGTATTGTGGCATAGGTGGTAAAGTCCTGGCCAGCAACATCAGTTTGAGCTCCAGCTGTTCCTAGTCCAGCTCCCTGTTAATGTATCTAGGAATGGCAGCAGAGGATGGCCCAAACGCTTGGGTCCCTGCACCCACGTGGAACACCTGATAACTCCTGGCTTTGGACTAGCCCAGCTCAAACTGCTGTGGCCATTTTTGGAGTGAACCAGACAGACTCTTCTCTGACTCTTCCCCCACCCCTGCCCATAACTCTGCCTTTCAAATAATTGTTTTTGAAGTTGTTAGTTTCTGTCCCATATTTGCATTTGTGGAAGCCTACTATTCACTCACTATAAACTATTCATCTAGGAGAAAGTGACTTCGTGATAATGTGTCTAGGAACAACTAGGAAATAACCAAGGCAGAGGATTAGTATTTTGGTGCAGCAGGTTAAGCCTGAAACACCAGCATCTCATGTAAACACTGGTTCGAGTCCCAGCTGCTCCTCTTCTTATCCAGCTTCCTGCTAATACACCTAGGAAAGCAGCAGAAGATGGCTCAAGCTCTTGGGCCCCGGCCACACAAGTAGCTGACGTTCCTGGTTTTGGCTTGTCCCAGTCCTGGCCAATCTAACCAGTGGGAAGTAAACCAAAAGGATGGAAGATTTCTACACCTCTCTGAACTTCTCTCTCTTGTTTCTCTGTAACTCTGCCCTTCAAGTAAAATAGATAAATCTTTGAAAGAAAGAAAAGAAATGACCAAGAGGTATTTAGCATCCTGCAATGTAGAGCAAGGCGTCAAGCCTAATGTGCTTAGAATATGACTATCACCTCTCATAAGGTTTCTCCATTGTCCTTAGCTAGGCACTGAAACCAGAGGGGAAAATCAAGTACTGAAAGAAAAAAAAAAAATCCACAGAACTCTGCATGTGAGATGATAAAAACATGGTAAGGAGCCCATAGGATTAGCTATGATGGAGTTTCCCAACAAACTCTTCAGCCTACTGTTAATGGAGCTAAAGTAATGAGATTTGACAAGCCACATTTGCTAGTTTTATTTCTTTACTTCATACTCAGTCCTCAATGGTTTTTGCTGAAGGAATTTTTAAGCATCTCAGTAAACTCCCAAGGTACTAAGCTCAACCCATAAAATGAGTCCTTAGATTATTTGATCTTATTGTTTCTGACATGACTACACCCTTTAGTATTTTTACGTAGGATTCAGGAATCATGTAATATGGGGTATACTGAAAACAAGGCTATTATGTCGTGGAGGTAACAGATTAGCTAGCAAAGGCCAAGTGGAAGTTATTCCTATTCCTTTTCCTACTCCTCTTTTGTTTGTTTGCTTTAACTATTTGAGAGGCAGAAAGATGAAAAGAGGGAGACAGAACCTATCCTTATTCATTCCCAAATGCCTGGGCTGAGTCAGACTGAGGCTGGGAACCACAATTTATTTAGTTATAGATTAACTTATTTTTATTTGAAAAGGAGCTTTACAGAGAGAAGAAGAGGCAGAGAGGAAAAGATTGTCCATCCATTGGTTCACTCCCCAAAAGGATGCAATGGCATTGCAGTGAGCTGAGCCAAAGCCAGGAGCCAGGAGCTTCTCCCAGGTCTCCCACATAGGTACAAGGTTCCAAGGCTTTGGGCCATCCTCTACTGGTTTCCCAGGCTATACACAGGGAGCTGGATAGGAAGTGGAGCAGTCGAGACACAAACTGGTGTCCATATGGAATGGTGGCACTTGCAGGTGGAGGATTTTGCCTATTGAGCCACTGCGCCAGGCCCTGAATCACAATTTCAATCCAGGTCTCTCTTGTGAGAGAAAGGGACTCAACTACTTGAGCCATTTCCACTTCCTCCTGAGGAACACCCCAGTAGGAAGCCTGAACCTGAAGCCAGAGCCTGGGTTCCAATCCAGACACTCCAGTATAGGATGTGGGTATTATAACTGCTAGGTAGTTCCAGTGTAGCATGTTAAGCTGCCACTTGGGAGGCCTGACCCACAGGAGTGCCAGTTCAAGCACCAGCTACTCTGTTTCCAATGCAGCTTCCTGTTAATGCATAGTGGGAGGCAGCAGATTAGACTCAATTGCTTAGACCTGGATCATCCACAGGAGAGACAGATGAGATTCTGCTACTAGCTTAAGTCTGGCCTAGCCTTAGCTGTTTCAAGCATTTGGGGATTGAACCAGTGGTTGCTAAGAGTTCACCACCC